GCTATTGCAATAAAGAAGGAAGACTAGAACTCAGCCTAGCTAGGAAACTCCACCCACACAGGGTCAATTTTTTTTAAAAAACAAAGTTATTAAGAAAATGAATGGGGAAGTGCTAGAGGACCCTGGTCATTTGTGTTTATTAAATTATTTTATAAAAAGGAAAAATAAGTTTCATGTCAGTATAACATGTGATAGTCTTCCAACTTGTGTAAGGTACCCACTGAAACTAGGCTTCTATTCTGGCCCAGAAAATGGGAGATAAGGATGCTACTTTCATTACCTTGCTCATGTAATTGTAACTCCTCTGTACAGTATTTTCATAATAAAAAACTTACTAAAAAAGAAAATTATATTTGGAATGAATGACACTCAGATTCTTGAGGAAGACATTTTTGAGTCCTATAGTTGATAAAAAGTGTTTAAAATGTTTCTATCTCAGATGGACAGTGAAAAAATATAGTTACTAGTATTATTAGTAGTATAGTCTCTGAGAAAAATGAGATCAGGTGACTTGAGCCAGGAAGTAACCTGTCCAAAGTTTAGCCAGGCTGAGAGAACTAAGGCTGTTATAGTGGCCTATACTCTAGCTCTTGTCTGGCAGCAGACACAACTGGGTCATCACATCTGGTGATCACTGTCACCTAGCCCTTTATGTTCCCATTGTGGGAACTGGGGATAAACCTAGATTTGGTTCTCTAGCTCCTGGTCTTACTGAAAGGAGTTAAGTTATCCTTTGTCTTTGACCTTGGTTCTCTAGTACTTGTAAAATCGTAGCTTGCTGGTTTTGCAACTGCTGCAAATCTCATTTTATAAAGTTCTTCATGCCACACCTAATGGACTTCTGTAAGCAAATGTTTCTTTTAGGATGCTCCTGAAGAAATTAACACAATAACTAGATTATTGGGTTATGTAAAGAAAACAGAATAAGTGAAAAAAACTCAGCTGTGGAATCTTGCTAGTCATCTCTTTAAGGAATTATTGTTGGAGGATTTCCAGTAGCCTCTTCTCTGTTTCTTCTCAAAATTTTGAATCCTGGGTGAGAGAAAATGGTTTTCTTCACTGAGTTTTCTCAAACCTGTGGTCAAGGTGATTAATGCCTGTAATGTGTCCCCTAATTAGTCTACATGGAATCAAGAGAAAATTACCTGAAAGAGGGATGTTACATAAACAACTTCCACAAATTCCCATTAGATTTTTACTTCTGTTCTTTAAAATATGTCCATGTTGGATTAGAGGACTTAGTTTTGTGTTTGCTTGCATCAGGTACTTAATGAAAGTCTCTATCAAAGACCTTAATAAAACAAGTTTAAAAGAATTCACTAAAATACACTATGTATTAAAAAGAACCATGGTAGTATTCATACATATATCAGACATATATGTCATGATATTTTTCCTTTATTATGCTGTTTTTTAGTTTATTTACTACTCACAAAAACAATTAACTAATTTTACTACACAGAAGGGAATGACTTTAAAAAACATCCTTGATGAAATTATTCATCACATAGTAAGAAACATACAATAATACTCATTCAACCTAATAGGTATAAGTAATCAGCTAGTTGACTAGTCAACAAAGATAATAAAGATGAAAATATAAAGGATGGCTCATATATTGAAAATTCAGCTCAAAATGTATGTATTAATACCTTCATTTATGAATAAGGTTTTTACTTTTTGTATTAGAGACCTAGTAAGAGATGTCTTCAAAGACTTTTTTTTTTGGGTCCGGTCGTGGGGCCTGAACTCTGGGCCTGGGCGCTGTCCCTCAGCTCTTCAGCTCAAGGCTAGCGCTCTACCACTTGAGCCATAGCGCCACTTCCGGCATTTTTTCTTTTTGCTTATGTGGTGCTGAGGAATTGAACCCAGGGCCTCAGGCATGCAAGGCAAGCACTCTACCACTGAGCCACCTTCCCAGCCCCACTTCAAAGACTTTTTTTAGCATAACACCACTCACATACTTTATCTACATTCTAGTGAATGTATATATGTATGCGATGTATGTATATGTGTCTGTATGTGTATATGTATGTATGTGTGTATGCATGTATAATGTATGTTTGTATGTAGGCATGTATACATTGCTAGGTGTTGACCATAGGGTCATACACATGTTATACAGGTACCCTACTACTTAGCATCATCACCAGCCCCAGTTTAAAGATGTGCAAGAATTTAGAGACATTTGAAAATGCAAATAAATGATACTTTTAGAATTTTATGACTTCCTATTTTATGTAATTTATTCTTCCCCAAACAGTTGGCTTATTATCTCAGTTGGGGGAGTAAGGAGGCGTGGGGGGGGGGTGGAGTGGGAGATGGGAAGGGATGGGAAGGGGAAACAAAGGAGGAGGCTACAATGCTTGATAAAAATTGTACTCATTACCTTGCCCATGTAATTGTAACCCCTCTATAAGGTATTTTCACAATTAAAAAAAACCCAATGGTTACTTTTTATAATCATTCTTTGCCAGGGTATAACAGTAAGAAATTACACTTCACAAGTAGAATAAGTAGGATAATAAACACAACAAATACAACTTTTTTTTTGAGAACTAACACATGATTTAACTTTCCAAGGTTACTGTGTTAGATGTGAATGCTCATTTGGCCATGGGAATCAAGGTACTTTACCCAGGGGATATAACATTCTGCCAATTAGTTACACAGACATGTCCCTTATTTATATATTTTCAGTCACACAGTCAAAACATGATATAGATTTCTTTTTTATTAATAAGTTTTTTTTGTTGTGAAAATACCGTACAGAGGGGTTACAATTACATGAGCAAGGTAATGAGTACATTTCTTATCAAGCCTTGTTGCTTCCTCCTTTGTTTCCCCTTACCATCCCTGCCCCCCCCACAAAGTTGTACAGTTGGTTTTTCATCATAATGTCTTGTTGCAATGGGTCTACCTGTATCTCTATTTAAACAATTTGTTTTTTCCCTTCCCCTTCCCAAAAGAAAATGTGGTATATACACACAATGGAATTCTATGCTTCCATCAGAAAGAACGACATTGCCCCATTTGTTAGGAAATGGAAAGACTTGGAAAAAATTATACTACGTGAAATAAGCCAGGCCCAAAGAAACATAGGTCCCATGGTTTCCTTTATTTGCAATAACTAGTATATGTCTGAGATAAGCAAAAACGGTCAGATAAATTGATGTTAGGCGAAATGAACACCTAGATAAGAACTCAAATGGTTTTTCTTTCTTGCTATTGTTTCTAACATATTTATAAGATGATATTTTGTTGCTTTGTATGTCCCTCCCCCATGGTATAACCCCTGTTTTCACTGTATTTGATGTTGGTATAATATAGATTTCTATTTGTGTGATGCATCATAATGCTAAAAATTCAGAAAGTTTCTTTTAAAAAATAAATTCTAATGTGCACTGGTGGCTCATGCCTGTAATCCTAGCTATTCAGGAAACTGAGATCTGAGGATCATGGTTCAAAGCCAGCCCAGGAAGGAAAGTCTTTGAGAGTCTTATCTCCAATAAGCCACTAGAAAACTGGACGGGGCACTGTGACTCAAGTGGTAGAGTGCTCACCGTTAACTGAAGAGAGAAGGGACAGTGCCCAAGCCCAGAGTTCAAGCCCCACGTCTGACCCCCCCCCAAATTTCTAATATGGGTTGGATTGCTGGGAGGAAGAAAAACAATAACAATAATCAACTCTCCCAACTAAAAGACAAAGGACAATGACTTATTAACTCAAAAAAGGAAAAAAAAAGAGAAATCTTAAACAGTCCCCAAACGTCCCCAAACACTTTTATCCAGATAAAGTTCAAAGTTTATTAGCTTCTATGATTTTAAAGAACATGTCTCTAATTACACAGTTTGTAAACAATACAGCTAGGATTTAAAATCAATTCTGTTTAGTGTTCATAATAGAAATCATTACAAGAAGGTATTGGTTTCACTTTAGCATATCATTTCCATCACAGGGACAGTAAATTGGAAGATTAGGGTGGGGTTTGCCTCACTGGGGCAATGCACATGGTAGCATCAAGCATGAGTTGTTACTGATAATTGCCAGTCCATTATTTAAAATTATCCATCCTTAGAAATATTTAAACACATTGATGTTGGAGGCATGGTGCAGGTGGTAGAGCACCAGCCAATTAGCAAAAGCATCAAATACTGTTGGAGTACTAGTCTTAGACAAACAAACAAAAAGGAATACTTTACCACATCACTATAGGAAAGCAAAGTGAAACTACAAACAAAAACTGAAATGATTGCTTCATAATTAATTTAATAACAGTTTTAAATTTTGACATTCACAGTTTTAGTAATTTTAAATAATGTTTTTCATCAGTTAAAAAAACTCTAGGTCTGGCTGGGTGCCAGTGGCTCATACCTGTAATCCCAGCTACTCAGGAGGCTGAGATCTGAGGATCATGGTTCAAAGCTGGCCAGTACAGGAAAGTCTGTGAGACTCTTATCTCCAATTAACCACTAGAAAACTGGAAGTGGCTCTGTGGCTCAAGTGGTAGAGCACTAGCTTTGAGCTGAAGAGCTGAGGGACAGTGCCCAGGCCCAGAGATCAAGCCCCATGACAAAAAATAAATAAATCCAGGTCCTTAGTATTGATAGCTTGTTCTCCATTGAAGTCTCATTTCAAACTTTCTCCTGTTTTCATCCTCAGGCCAAACCTTTTTTTTCTTCAGAAAGCATAGTCATTAAATAAAACCTTTTACAACCCTTATTTTATCTTTCTAACAAACCTGTTTATCTGTGTCTTCTCTCATACAATGCTCACCTTGTCTATTTTTTATTTTTTGGACAGGTATGAGTTGTCTTTTCTTTTTCTAGCCAGGCACTGGACAATGTAGATTTACTTGGACATTCTTCTGGAATAGGAAACACTGTCTACATAGTAGTGTCTAAAATGTTAGAGAACATTTTGAGTCTTTGATTTCTGGTTTTTTCTTAAAGTCTTGATTTAAAGTCTGAATTTCTTAGTTAAGTATATAAGAAGTGTTCTTAACTCATCTTGGTAGCGATGGGCCTTCCTATCACTCTTTTCAGTGCAGTCTTTACCTCCTGGTTCCTCAGACTATAGACAAGAGGATTGAGTAGGGGAGTGAGCACTGTGTAGGTCACCGCCACCAACTGATCCTTGTCTGAAGCAGACTTGGACTTGGGTCGGAGGTAGATGACAGATGCGCAACCGTAGTGGACAAAGACCACTGTGAGGTGAGAAGCACAGGTGGCAAAGGCCTTCCTCTTGCCCTCGGCTGAGGGGATCTTCAGAATGGTGTTGACTATGAAGCCATAGGATATGAGGATCAACAGGAAAGGCACCATGATCACCAGGATGCTGAGGCTGAATAGTGCCAGCTCTTTGACATGGGTGTCAGTGCAGGCTAATTTGATAACAGGTGCCATGTCACAGAAATAGTGGTTGACCTTGTTGGGGCCACAGAAAGGCATGTCACAGATAAGGTTCGTAGCCACCAAAGCAATGAGGAAACTGGTGAGTCCTGACAGAGAAACCAACCCCAGCCCCAGCCTTTTGTTCATAATGAGCGTGTACCTCAAGGGGTGACAGATGGCTGCATAGCGGTCATAGCCCATCACTGCGATGAGAAAGCAGTTGGTGCAGGCAAAGCCCAGGAAGAAGAAGAGCTGGGTGGCACAGGCCACAAAGGAGATTGTCTTAGTAGCTGAGAGCAGGTGGGCCAGAAGCTGAGGGATGATGACAAAAGTGTAGCAAGATTCAGAAAATGAAAGGATGAACAAGAAAGCATACATAGGAGTGTGCAGGGTGTGGCTGAAACGGATAACTGTCATGATGGTCACGTTGGCCATGAGGATGGTTAAGTACAGGAGAAGAAAGATGACAAACAGCAGTAACTGCAGTTCCCCGAGGCTGGAGAAACCCACCAGGATGAACTGTGTAACCACGGTGGTTCTGTTGAAGCTTTGCATCTGGATAACTTCTCTCTGAGTGAATTTGGAGAGATAAAATGATATCATTGTAATAGAAACGTTTTCTCACTGCCTCTCAATCCATCTAGGTATAGATGACCTCTTTGGCTTGTTTTTGGTATGAAATTGCTATTCTTGCTGGGTGCTGGTGGTTCATGTCTGTAATTCTAGTTATTCAGGAGGCTGAGGTCTGAGGATACCAGTTTACACCAGTTTGAAGCAATTGGGGAGAGACAAATCAGAGATACATTTTTTTCAAGGATTTGTTTTTATTTTAGTCTGTTTTCATTGTATTTTTTATTTTTTATTTCTCTTTCTTTCTCTTTTTTAAAATTGTTTTTGTATAGTTGATATACAGAGGGGTTACAGTTACATGAGTTAGGTCAGACTCACAACCACCAAAAAGTTGGGAGTGAAGGTATGATTCAAGTGATAGAGTGCTGGGCCTTGAGCAGAAGAGGCAAGTGAGTATGCAAGGCCCTAGTTCAAGTTCAAATCTCAGTACTGGAATTAAAAAGAAAAAAGGAAAGAAAGAAATTGTTTATCTGTATTTTAAGGAATAAATATCTTTATCTCAAAGGTTAAAAAAAATCACTTAACGAAATGGGAAAATTCCCCAGATCAAGAAGAATACTATCTTCAGTAAGGAAAAAAACAAATTAATTTTCTTATGTGCTCTTGATTCTGTGCTATCCTGTGTGTTGGTTTCTTTCACAGTGATCACAATTCATTTTGTTAACATTATCATAAGGACATTAAAATGCTGGGCCTTGGAGTATAGACTCAGGAAATAGAACACAAGAGTTTGAATCTTGCCTTTGGCAGTTAAAGCTTAAAAACTTCATCAGGATTTGTGATTTTTTTCCCATTTGTAAAATGTAAATTATGATACAGCTTAATATAGGATTGGTAAAAGAATTAGGTAAGATAATATAAGTAAAATATTTGAAATGGACATAGCAAATACTACTTGCTGTTTATTTGGTATGTTTTTGCCTTTGTCTCAAATACTCATGTTTATAAGATTTGAAAGGCACCATATGCTTAAGTACCAGAACTTAAGACTTTTTATTTATAATCTACTTTCTACCTTTACATTACATTACATTCTTTACATTATCAGATTTCCTGGCCATGTCTCTTTACAAAGAGACTAAATAGTTCCAAGTGCTGCTTGTTCATGCAAAACTAACATCATTTCCACCTTCTCTCTTTGCATTATAATTACTCACATTTTAAATGCTACCCAATTTTAAAATAGATTTATGCTTTATTCTTTCTAATTCTAAAGTTCATGAGACAAGAAAAGGTGACTGGAGAGGAGGAAAATAGGTAAGTCAAAGATATATTTGGCTTGGTGAATGTACTCAAAGGTAGGGAGGATCACAAGGACTTGACTTATGTTCAATCACAGTTTTATGAGTCCTTTCAACATTCCCCTAAATTGTTAGTTTCTTTTTTGTGTGACTTAACCAAAATTTGGTTATATGCACAGGTATTTTGAAAGGGATCATAGGCACACTTAAGTATGAAAGGTATTTTTATACCTTTTTATGCTGTTTTGTGTGAAACACAGACATACAAACATGTGTCTCATATATAATCCAAAACATGTATCTCATTTATAATCTCCTTCATATCCATGTTTGTCAATAAAACTTCCAGGACCCCTGAAACCTTCCTGGAAGCTCTTTCTCTTCATAAGACCAAAGATCTTAAAACTGTGCACATACGGGTAGTAGACTAGGTTCTACTGTGTACTTCTTTATAATTAACTTGACCATGTAGAAGTCTCATATCCCTAAAGAGACTGTTAATTTGAGGCAGGATTGATAACAATGTATTGTAGATGCTATTCAGTCCTCAAAGCAGTATAGAGCACATAAGAGACTCTAAGAGAATACTTAATAAATGATGATATTAATTCTCCTTCTGATTTTTCATTTTCTCATATGCTATCACTTTTTCTAATGAATGTTTTTACGATTTTCTGCTATGGTCCATATCATTCCTAAATTTTAATTTTTTTCTCAAGGTCATCTTTAATGTCAGAAGAGGAACCTATACTAAGGCTTTCTGGCACTCATTTACTTCTATTTCTTGACTCCTTAGCATTTCTATTTTATATATTAAAATATAGTGTGTGTGGACATGTGCCTGTATTTCTGTGTGCCTATCCAACCAGAATTGAAGTTCCTTTCATTGCAAGAATAGAACAACTACAGCTTAATTTTAGTGAATATTTTGCATAACAATGAAAACTATGCCAGTGTATTCAAATCTTAGTAGGAAATAGTTCTTGCTTCAGATGGCTATTGACAAAGAAAGTACACTTAAACATTTACCTCCAAAAGATCAAGAAAGATGACATGTGACTTTGAGCTTGGTGACTTTGTCTGGTAGGTCTTGTGAATGTTGAAAGAGGACACACAAAGTCAGTTGCGAAGTAATGCCATCTTCTCTGAAAGATTAAATGAACACCTCTCATAAAGGATTTATTTGGATGTTTAAGTGTCCCAAATCTCCAGGTTTTAAATAAGAGGCTGAAAATAACCAGTCTATATTCATATATCAATTCTGATTCTATAATTGGATTGGACAGCCTTCTGGGATTCTAAGGACTAGGGGCCTCTGAGATTTAAACAGAGCTTAAGAGGAGAGAAATTAAATGACTACATTTGGACTACATTTAATACTAGAAGAGATATTCAGATTTGATAAATAAAACATAACTAGATAAAATAAAAATACTCTTCACATCTGCAAAGTACTTGACACTAGATATTCTTTTAGCTCAGGGAGTTTATTTGTTTAGGACCTGCTTCGTAAATACAGAATTATTGGGCCTTTTGAAGAATTATATAGGCTGGGCCTTTTTTGCTTCTATATATATGGTCTGCATAAAAGCTCATATGACTAGATTTCTTAATTCTGTCTGTGGAATTATTGAGAGGGAATGACTTCTATTCAGTACTCATTCATTGTGTGATTTGGGGAGTATTATAATAGGCATTACAATGATAAGAAGATAAATTATGTGAACTGAACTGATGTGTAGGGAAGACAGAAGCAAAGCCAACAGGCATAATGAAGAAGGTGCCAATGAACCCCAGGGCAGCTGAAGCATGAGTACCACCAACAAAGATGTTATTGAATACATTCAGGGCTAAGAGTTATTTATTTATTAATAAGTTTTTTATTGTGAAAATACCATACAGAGAGGTTACAATTACATAGGCAAGGTAATGAGTACATTTCTTATCAAGCGTTGTTACCTCCTCTTTTTTCCCCCTTACCATCCCTGCCTTCCCATCTCCTCCCATCCGCCTTGCCAAAGTTGTAAAGTTTGTTTTTCGACATAACGTTTTGTACATCTCATTCCACCTGTATCCCTACTTAAACAATTTGTCTTTTTCCTTCCCCTCCACAAATTATACCAACATCAAATACAGTGAAAACAGGGGTTATACTGTGGGGGAGGGACATATAAAGCAACAAAGAAATCATCTTATAAATATGTTAGAAACAATAGCAAGAGAGAAAAACCATTTGAGTCCTTATCTTGAGGTTCATTTTGCCTAGCATCAACTTATCTGACCATTTCTGCTTGTCTCAGACATACACTAGTTATTGCAAATAAGAAGGTGAAAATATAGTAAGTTTTCAGATCAAAATCATAGATATTACAGTTACATACATAAGGTAGTGAGTACATTTCTTGTCAAATATTGTTACGCCTTCATTTTTCTCAAACTTTCCCTGTAACCCCTCTGTACATCACATTGACAACAAAATTAAATTAAAAATACTAAAAATTAAAAAAAGAAAGAATACCACTTTCCTATTTAAGAAAATTTGAGAGACAGCAACATTGTTTCTAACTAACCCTGGATGAATTTGTGTTTGCCAGAGACTAGACTTCTGAACACATGCATAATTTCCTAAAACTGTTGTGCATTAGTTTTCACTCAACTCAAAATATTTCAATGGATGATAATTAACATGATAATGGTGAAAAAGGAGGGAGAAATAATCTCTGCTTTTGAGCATGATGCTTGGTTGGTTGGTCATTTCCAAACTTCCTAGGAAATTTCTCCTGCGTCTCTTATGCTTTGTTATTTGGAAAGATCAGAATCCAAATTAACGTTGTGGCACAAAAATAGTTCTTCCTACAACTCTGCGAAGAGCTGACTTGAATTCTTTATTCCTTAGGCTGTAGATCATGGGGTTGAAGAGTGGGGTTAGGATAGTGTAGGACACCGATATCAGAGCATCCTGGCTTGAGGAGTAGTCGGACTTAGGCCTCAAATAGATAAAGGAGGCACAGCCGTAGTGGACAGTGACAATGATGAGGTGGGAAGCACATGTGGAGAATGCTTTGTACCTGCCCAATGTGGAGGGAAACTGGAGGATGGCTGAGATGATGTGAATGTAGGATACCACGATCAACAACAGGGGGATAACAAGGACCAATGCACAAAGCATGAAGATGGCCATCTGACCAGAGCGGGTGTGGTGAGAGGCCAGCTTGAGGACTGGGGAGATGTCACAGAAGAAGTGATGGAGTTGATTAGAAGAGTGAAAGGGCAGATGGAATACCAAGGATGTGATGACCTGTGCCACAGTGAAGCCACAGGCACAGGCCGCGGCCACTAGCCCCACGCACACCCCACGCCCCATGAGCACGGTGTAGCGCAGCGGGTTGCAGATGGCCACGTAGCGGTCATAGCCCATGGCTGCCAGCAGGAAGGAGTGGGAGCAGCCAAGGAAGAGGAAGGTGAACATCTGGATGGCACAGCCCAGAAAGGAGATGGTCTTCCTCTGGGCCAGCAGATCCACCAGCATCTTGGGTACGATGACGAAGGTGTAGCAAGTCTCCGAGCAGGAGAGCACAGAGAGGAAGAAGTACATGGGCGTGTGCAAGGCTCTGTCCAGCACAATGGTGGAGATGATGATGGCATTGGTGCCCAGAGTGAACAGGTAGAGAAGCAGGAAGATGG